CATTCGAGCTGATGTATCGAATGGGGGAAATCTCGTGAACTTTTGGGTTATAGATATTATTATCCATCGAGGTTGGTAGGTGAAAACCTGCTATCCTTCATGGCTAATCGTATCTATAACTCCATCTGCTCTTCCATCGGCCTGCTTGTGCCGTGTGTAAAGGCCTACGACCATTTTGTCCTTCGGGATAGTGTGATCGTATTCTTTGCATCCGAACCACACGAGCAGAATCCTTTCGGAGACCCACAATTATCACTTTCAATAATCACCCCTTTGCAATCCAACATCCATTTACTAAGAAATTCCCTCACCGTAAGAACAGCTTCTAGCTCAAGTTGGGCTATATCCCAATGCATCTTGCTCTTCCCAAAAGCACTAATGAACCGGCCTTTACAATCTCTAAAAAAGTCACCAATTCCAGCCTGATTGGAGCTAAGCAAAGAAGCATCCACATTAATCTTAATCCAATCTTTTGGTGGAGGGCACCAAGAATTTTAAGACTCCCTAAGGAGATTAGTGCCCCAGCTCGTAAGAAGTGGATTAGATGTTGAAGTAGCTAAGAATAAAGCATTAGAAGCAACCAAAGAGCACAGCAAAGCAGCCTTACCATGCTTGACTTCATTCCGATTCCTCCAAGAAAGATACACAACCGTGCAGTAAATTTTGACAATCCCAAAATAATGGGTAGTTAAATTCTTCAACTCCTATAAATAGATATCCAGGGAATGAAAACCCGGTATATGAATACCCCATTCAAGCATTTTCATAATAACTTCCACCATATATTTGCAAAGAACCATAATATGCTTATATGATTCATTAAATTAGCAGCCTCTAGCACAAAAAGCATTATCAGATAATCTGCGGTTCTTTAAGAACAAATTAGATGGAATAGCCTTTTTACCAAGCCTCCACCAGAATGTCTCAGCCTTCTTGTTAAGTTTCATCTTCAGTACCCAATTGAAGAACCCGATCTCCTCATCAGCACAGCTATAAAAAATAGAATGCTCATATACAAAAGCACACACGGTCTTCCCCGAACACCAATTCAGAAGCTCCACCCTATCCTCCTCCTTATTTTCAATACTATTTTGACTAATTAGTATGATTAAATCAGGCTGAAAAGCCAATTGTAATACCGCAAAGTTCCATTCACCATTACTCATTAATAGTTGTTGTACATAGACACCCTCAAGGAATTCACAATTCACATAAGTTGGCCACCGGTTGATGCATTTATCAAGCAACCATGTATCATTCAAAACACTGATCCTGTCTCCCTTGCCTATTCTCCATCTGACAGCATTCTTCAAGAGTCTACCTCCATCCAACAAAATGCGCCAAGCACTAGAATTACCATTCTTTTGAGCTTCATACATAATATCACCACCATACTTACACTTCATTGTTCTATGAAACAATGAATCCGTCTTTAGTAAGAAATTCCATGCCAATTTAGATCTAAGAGATCCAAGTCTAAGCAAAGGAGAATGCAAACCCAATACTCCCAAACACCTTGGTTTGCAAATCTCTTCCCATGCAACATAATGCATTCCATTAGTTCCATCAATTTTATGCCAAATAAAATTTCTACATAGTTTTTCCAATTCATGAAGAACCCTCTTGGGGACTAACGAATGAGTAATCAAGAAGTTTGGCATAGAAAATAGAGAACTTTCAATAAGGATGAGCTTACCTCCCAAAGATAGGGACTTCTTACACCAAGCATTAAGCCTATCCATAACATTACTAAGAAGCTCCTGAAAATCTGCCACCTTGGGTCTCCTAAGAGAGATATTCACACCCAGGTATTTCATTTCCTTGACCATACTGAAGCCAAAAACTTTAGTAATCTTCTTCCTCAAAGGGTGCCTAACCACCTTGCCAAACATAATTTGGGATTTGTTGAAGTTAACTCTTTGTCCAGTCCACTTGCAAAAGTCTTTCACAATAATCTTCATTGCCTTGGCTAAAGCAATAGATGCAAGAGAGAAGATTAGCACATCATCAGCATAAAGAAGATGTGTAATCTTTGGATCTCTAGAAGAGATACGAATGCCAAGAGATTGCCCCCTTTGCTCCACGGAATTGGACAACAATTGAGAACACAAAATGAAAAGGTATGGAGATAGTGGACATCCTTGACGGAACCCACTATGAGCATTAATCCAATTGGAATTCTTTCCATTGATGATAATGGAAAACTTCACATCCACAACACATTCCAATAGAAGGTTAGAAAATTATAAGGAAATCCATACCACTTAAGAATTTGATGAAGAGTTGCCCATCCCATGCTATCATAAGCTTGCTCCATATCCAATTTTATAGCCATCAACCCCTTCTTATTTTTGGATATCTTAAACTTATGAAAAATCTCTTGAGCCAAAAGACAATGCTCTGAAATAGATCTCCTAGGAATGAAAGCCACCTACTCTTCAGAAATCAACTTAGAAATTACCTTCTTCAATCTATTAACTAGCATGGAAGCAACAATCTTATAGTTAGTTTGGCAAAGGATGATAGGTCTGTAGTTAGCCGGAACCACAGGATTCTTGACTTTAGAAATCAAGACTATCAAGGTATCATTCCACTCCTTGCACATACGGCTGGACTTTAAAAAACTGTTGACAGCATTCCATAAAGTCTCGCATACAATACTCTAATAACTCTTGTAAAAAGAAGAAGTAACCCCATCCATACCTGGAGACTTATTGTTACCTTGCTGGAAGACCGAACACTTCAGCTCATTCACAGAAAAATCCTCATTAAGCAAGGCAATTTCCTCATCTAAAATCCTCTGCTTATCTGTAGCTAACGGCCAACTCGTTAAATCACAGTTCCTATGCTGCCATTTTTTTTCAAAAAACTGATAAAACATCTTCTCAATTTGATCATCTTCATCATATACCTTATTGAACTCATCTTTAATTTGGTTAATCCGATTTCCATTCCTTCTAGCCGTGGCAAAGTTGTGGAAAAGCTTGGAATTTGTATCTCCTTCTTCATGCCATCTAACTTTTTCCCTTTGATTCCACCATGTAGATAATCTTCTTAAAGTAACATTAAGCTCATGTACTTTAGTTCGAAGTAACAGGAGATCCTCATCTGCCCGATTCTCCCCCAAAGCCTCCTTGTTTTGAAGTTCAAGGATCTCTCCTTTCAGCTTTTCCTTTAAACTGTTCAAGTCTTTATATTTATTCTTATTCCAAAAAAATAATGCTCTTAAAGTTCTTCTAGTCTTCCTTTGTAAGATCATATTTTCATCTCCATAATCTTTCTTTTTCCAAGAGTGATAAACAACACTCTTACTTGCCGGGTAAGACCTCCAAGTATCCTCAAACCTGATAACCTTTTACTTGTACCACACACTAACATCCAATTTAAGAACAATCGAACTATGGTCAGAAGCCACTCTGGCCAAATGTCTAATAGCAGCTAATGGAAGCTTCTGAATAGCAAGTGAATTTAATAAGCACCTGTCCAACCTCTCCCAAATCCAGGAGGCCCCCTCCTTATTGTTACACCAAGTAAACCTTGGCCCAATGTATCCAATGTCATGAAAATATGAATTCATCAGAAAACCTTTTATCTCCTTAGGTCCTTTAGAGAACAAGAACCTCTTACCACCTCTCTTTTCCTCCTTATTCAAGATACAATTGAAGTCCCCTCCAATGATGGCAGGACAAGAATCCTCCATACATTTCTCAAGTTGCTTCCATAAACTACCCCTCTCCCTACAACACATACTCCCATATACCGTAGCAACTCTCCACATTCCCAAGTTAGGAATCGAAAGGTTACCAACAATAACCTGAGAAGAAGATTCCTTCACATCAAAAGAAACCAACATCCTGTTCCAAATTGACCTATTCACACATTTTTTTTATTTTTATTAAACCCTAATTAGCCTAAATCAATATCCTGAACCACTATCAACAGCAAGATAATTTCTAAATTAAATTCACCTAGACAACACTAGTGTTGGGCTTACTTGGGTCAACCTAATTAGACTAATCCAGGTTAGCTTAAATAGACTAATTAACCAATTTAGCTCACTTAGACCAAGTCAAGCCCACCTAATAAAGTCCTAGCCTACCTGAATCTAGTCAGTCCAATTGAAACATTGTCTTGCATTCCATTGGCTATAAAAGGCAATAACGTTAGGACATATGTACTGGTCCGTATAATCAAAACATCCATCCAAGGCCTAACTCTTCCCTTCCACTTGCTTGATGCTATTAGCCCAACTCAAATCCTACTAACTACTTCATATAATTGGTTATGGACAAAACTATAGCCACATGAATTCTCCAAAACTTATAAATAATATTGCTTTTAGAGGCTATGAGTTCCAAATAGTAGTTCAACTTTCCCTGTGATATAGCATTGGATCCTTGGTCTTCTCCAAACCTCTAGCAAGCTTTGAGTGTGATCCTGAGAATGCCAGTGAACCTAGTTAGTGGAAATCCAATTTTGCATCCAACCATCCTTAGTTCTTAACCTCTAAAGGAAGAACATTCCCTAGAGCTAAGTAAACTTATTACAAGAAAACTCCCCTTCCAATTCAAACAATATAGAGGTAACCATAAAACACAAGCTATATCAAATAAGGCTGTGAGACATTATGAAGGATGACAATTGAAATTTATCCAACCATTGGATTGGTCATTCATCTTCCTTAGATTCTCCTAGGTCAATTTGGGCCAATTTCTTGGAGTAGATTGCATAAAAAATTAGGTTAGTAGTTGAGAGAAGTAATGAGCGGTTGGAGATGAAATAATGGCCATATATTTCATTATGTTTTGTAGGGCGGTCTTGATTGCATTGTATTGGATAATATATGATCATCCCACAGTTTGATATATTAAATACCAACTATTCAATCTCTAATCAAACAAATGGGATGATTCTAGAGCTATCACAAGGGCCCGTAGATATGTAAGTGGCCAATGGGACAACACTGTGTGGAAAAGTGCAACACAGTCAACCGCTGACTATGTATATTCTTAATTCTTGCAATTTAATTTCAAAAAATACACTAAACTTTAAAAATTCATAGCAGTTAATCTAATAGAACAAATTATATGATCCACACCTCTATATATTTTTCATTACATTCCCTATCCAATGTAATAGGCTTTATGGTCTGATTTGGACTTTTGGTTATGTAACCTATAAGAAACATAGAATGATGTTTTGGTTAATTATTGCATTGCATGATTTAATTGGGGATCAAATTAATCCGGAAGGTAACTAAGGATGTCTTTGGTATCATTGATTTTTCTTGGGTGAATCTAACCCCTCACTTGGCATGTATTGAATTTCAAAAATCAAGGGTTAGAAATTGACCTATGATTTTGAAACTTCATAACACTGAATCCATTGGGATTTTTATTATGATTTCTCTATGGTATTTTAACCTAGCTAGAAAAAAGGGTTAGATTACTATTAATTTTCCCTAATTCAAACACTGGGTTAGGCTAAAAAATCTCCTTAGTTCTAGTTAGTGAATTTTAGTAAATTCCCTAAATTTTAGGATAGTACAATCCGTTTTAAACTCATTCAAAATGTTTCTAAGGTTCCTAAGGACTCATGGAATTAAATTCATGATCATGTGAATCCAATTGGATCATTAATGAGAAATTATTTAATAAGTTCTTTTGGCATGGTTAGATTGTGAATTTAAAATTTATTTGGTCCTCTTGGAACAACTGTTGTGGTGTGCTTGAAGAAGGGGCCTTGTGCTATAAGAATATGTGAGATTTATCTTATGCTTTCTTTTATAAACTATGGTTTAATTTTGTTCCAAACTTTCTCTATGGGCTAAGTTCATGACTGAGAAGTAATGTGTTGGAAAGCATCTTACTATGTGCTATTATAATAATGGGGACTCTAGGGTGTGGAAAAGGCTTTGTAATATCAAGTGGAGTGTTGAACCTCATATTCAATAGGGTATGGGTAATGCTAACCTCTTTTTTTTTTTGGCAAGATCAATGGTTTGAAGGTTGGTACATTGATTCCTTCATTTAATCATCCTCCACGGCCATTACTTAAGTTGATGCTTTTATCACTAAAAATAATTGGGATTATAATAAACTGGTTGACATCATTCCTGAATTTGTTATTGCTAGAATTTTGAATCTTTCTATTAATATTGATTCTGAGGATTTATTATTATATGATTTATCTTACAATGGTTTGTTTACCTTAAAAGATGCTTGGCATGAGTTCAGGGAGAAGCATTACGTTAAGAAAGTTTATCCCATGATTTAGCATAAGAGTATTCCTAAGACTATTTCTATTTTTTTTTTGGAGAATCATGCATAAATTTATTCCTACTGATGACAATTTGAGAAAGAGAGGTTTTATTTTAACGTCTAAGTATCAATGTTGCTTTCATGAAGAAAATATGCATCATGTATTTATTTTTGGGCTGATTGCTATTAAAATTTGGTCTTACTTTGATGATATTTAAAGTTAAGTCAGTTTATTGCTCATATTTCTATTAACACTTTGCTTGATTCCTAGTTCATTAACTCTAAAGTGCATATTATAAATGTCATTATGTCTTTAATTTTGTGGTTTTTGTGGCTTGCTAGGAATTATTCTTTTTCAATAATTGTAATATGGATTCTCACCACATTATTAGGAACATTAAAGATAAAATGTGTAGTCTTTTCTCTACCAACTTTTTTACTTCCAAATACTTTAAAATTTACTTTTTTGCTGCTCATTATTTTGGTATATCTTTGTACTATAGAAAATACTTTGTATGAACCTAAGTTGGTTCAGTGGATCAAACTTCCCCTTAATATTTATAAATTAAATGTTGACGGGGCTATGAATAATAGCTCTTTTGGGTGTGGTGGCAATATTAGAGATGAGCAAGGGAACATGGTTATGGCTTTTTGCACCCCATTGATGAAGTGTTTGGTGGTGATGGTTGAGCTCTCTCCTATTTTTAATGGTCTTTAATTATGTATTTCTCTTGGTATTACTAATATTTGGATCGAGATGGATGTCACTTCTAGTATCCATTGTATTATGAAGCAAAAGGATAGTATTTGCAACCCATATCTTTTTTAACTTATTAGAAAAATAATCGACTCTTAATTTTTATTAACTTTATGATTAAGCATGTTTGTAGGGAAGGTAATTCATGTGCTAATTTGGGTTGCAATTTGAATTATCTTACTAACTTCATTGGCACCAATTTACCTAATTTACTGAAAGGTATGATTAGGTTGAATAAAAATAGGTTTAACTTATGTTAGAATTAATGGCTTTGTCATTCCTTGGCTTTATTCTACTTTTGGTTTTTCCTGACGAGCATGGCTCTGTGTTATCTCAAATCACTGATGCATGGATTTTATCTTTGGAATACCTAATGTTCAACACTGCTTGGTATTTTAGAGCTTGAGGTTTGAGTTATGATTGGAATTGTTGGTTCCCTGATTTAAACCCCTCTTGTTGATCTTTTATTCCTAGGAGTCTCTTTTCTGCTTGGCTGCGTTGTTTGCTATTGAGTTTGGAGCTGGCTTTGTTGGCCTAGTTAGCTATATTCTTGGGGTTCATCAGATTTTTTGGGGGTTATTCTCGGTTTGGCTTTGGGTTGGTCCCCTTAGTTGGATTTATTATTGCTTGTTCTCAGTTGTACTTATCCTTCTCCCTGTCTCTGTTGGCCATTTGATGGGATCTAGAAGTGTAACTATGCTGCCATTTTGGTTGTGTTGGCCTATTGCCTAAAGTTTCTAGCTTTGACTCAGTCTGTTGCATTTTTTTATGTCTGAATGAGTATGGGTTTAGAATTGAGTGGCATTGGAGTTTTTATCATGATGGTTATTGGGGGTTATCTTTCTGAGCTCTTTTGGCCCTATTTATTTCATAGGTTTCCTCACTTAGTTCCTGGCTTGTTGTGCTTCTTTATCCTAGTTCCTAGTGTTGGATTGTCATCTGTTTAGCCAGTTCCTTCATATGTGGGTTTGTTGTGCTACTTATTTTTATATCTTGCAGGTTTGGATGTTAAGATGTAATTTTGGGGTTGATTTTTTGGTTAATCATCTGATCTCTGAGATGTTGCCAAATGGTATATTAGTTTATTGGAGTTGTTTGTAAGATTTTGTTTCTCCTTTAATATTGCCTGTTTTTCCCTTTGTTAACTGGATTATTTCTTCCTATTGTTACTCGATGTCCATGATTTATTTCAGCTGGTTGTTGCTGGTTTCCAGGTGTGGTTTTTTCCTGGATTCTTGCTATTGTCACTCTTTTTCGGCTAGTATCATGATTTATATTAATAGGTTACTGTTCATTTTTATTGAAGGGATTATCTCCACCTCTTCTTTAGATAAATCAAATAGGAATCTTCTCTTAACTTTTTACTATCCTTTGTGTTATTTCTTTTGTTTGCTTTGTTTGTTTTCCTTTTATTTTCGAGATCTCATGTATGTTATTGGAAAGGACATTTTTGTGGAGGATAGGATAAATTTTTGCAAGAAGAATGTGCTAAATGCCTATTTTTTCTTCTTTCTTTTTTTTTGGGTGATGTATTCTTGCAGCTCTATAATGTTATTATGTGCTTTTGCTACTTATAGTTTAGGGGCCAATCGACTCATCAGATTATGAGGCGACGGTCCATGAATTTTAAAAAAATTATGCAAATTAAGAAAAAAATCCTCATTTTTAATTTTTCGTATACAATAATAATTATTATATTATTATTATTATTAATTATTATTATTATTATTATTATTATTATTATTATTATTATTATTATTATTATTATTATTATTATTATTATTATTATTATTATTATTATTATTATTATTATTATTATTATTATTATTATTATTA